CCCTCTGGTCGGAGGTGTTTGGTGCCAAGGTGCCGGACTAAACGGTAGATCTAGTTTTGTTCCTGCTGCTGTGACCATTCTTAACCATCTATAACTTGTCACTCATATTTTTGAGACTCATTTATTTATACTCATGTTTTAGATATTTTATTAATGAGATAGCAGTCGTTTGTTAATGACATTTTATTGTAAAGCACAGTTGATTAATTAATTAGTGAGAGAGCACCTTTAATCGTGTCCGATTTCATGGCAAACCAAAACTACCCACAGATATACATAGTTAGCTTGACCTTGATACACGGAAGTGTGACATGGCTAAAGCGAACATTTCTTGGAGACAATAATATGATTTTAGCAAAGCAAGAGATAATTTGGGCATTTCATGAGCTGCAAGCCATAATCATCACAATTATAACAAAAAACTGCTTCAGATTTCTGGCTTTGCGTGGAATGAGTCAATTTCATATATTAGTTTCCCCTTTTAGGTTGACTGACATAAATGAAGTTTTACACAATATTCAAATTTCTTGAATTTTATCCGTTTATACATATAAATTACATATGGATATTTGAAGAGAGTTCACATCAAAGCTTCCACTAAAACTTTAGGTTAATCATTTGCTTCTCATTTTTAATCTAATTTTAGTTTCACACATTGATGTATTAATGTTTGTCTAAATTAAGTTATTGTTACACTTACTTGCCAAAAATAGAAGACTGGAGATGTTTAGTCAGATCTAATAAGGTCTTCAATAACAGAGAATGACTCCTTTGGCTAGTATCAAAGCTGTTATGAATAAGGAGGACTCTCACAACACCTATATGAGCTGTGACATCACTCAGCCCCATTTTAGCCTGGCCAGACACGCAAATGCAGAGGCAGATGCTTATAAAAACACAAAATGCAGTTTTGAAATGATGGTTTTTATTATTTAGGGAGAGAACAAAGTCCAAACCTACATTGCCCTGTGTGAGAAAGTAATTGCCCCCTGAACCTAATAACTGGTTGGGCCTCCCTTAGCAGCAATAACTGCAATCAAGCGTTTGCGATAACTTGCTACGAGTCTTTTACAGCACTCTGGAGGAATTTTGGCCCACTCATCTTTGCAGAATTGTTGTAATTCAGCTTTATTTGAGGGTTTTCTAGCATGAACCGCCTTTTTAAGGTCATGCCATAGCATCTCAATAGGATTCAGGTCAGGACTTTGACTAGGCCACTCCAAAGTCTTCATTTTGTTGTTCTTCAGCCATTCAGAGGTGGATTTGCTGGTGTGTTTTGGGTCATTGTCCTGCTGCAGCACCCAAGATCGCTTCAGCTTTAGTTGATGAACAGATGGCCAGACATTCTCCTTCAGGATGTAGACAGTAGAATTCATGATTCCATTTATCACAGCAAACCTTCCAGTTCCTGAAGCAGCAAAACAACCCCAGACCATCACACTACCACCACCATATTTTACTGTTGGTATGATGTTATGCTGTTACTTCTACGCCAGATGTAACGGGACATTTGCCTTCCAAACAGTTCAACTTTTGTCTCATGAGTCCACAAGGTATTTTCCCAAAAGTCTTGGCAATCATTGAGATGTTTCTTAGCAAAATTAAGACGAGCCCTAATGTTCTTTTTACTTAACAGTGGTTTGCGTATTGGAAATCTGCCAAGCAGACCATTTTTGCCCAGTCTCTTTCTTATGGTGGAGTCGTGAACACTGACCTTAATTGAGGCAAGTGAGGCCTGCAGGTCTTTAGAAGTTGTCCTGGGGTCTTTAGTGACCTCTCGGATGAGTTGTCTCTGCGCTCTTGGGGTAATTTGGGCCAGCTGCCCACTCCTGGGAAGGTTCACCACTGTTCCATGTTGTTGCCATTTGTGGATAATGGCTCTCACTGTGGCCTGCTGGAGTCCCAAAGCTTTAGAAATGGCTTTATAACCTTTACCAGACTGATAGACCTCAGTTACTTTTGCTATCATTTGTTGTTGAATTTTTTTGGATCTTGGCATGATGTCTAGCTTTTGAGGTGCTTTTGGTCTACTTCTCTGTGTCCGGCAGCTCCTATTTAAGTGATTTCTTGATTGAAACAGGTGTGGCAGTAATCAGACTTGGGGGTGGCTACAGAAATTGAACTCAGGTGTGAAACACCACAGTTGGGTTATTTTTTAACAAGGGGGACAATTACTTTTTCACACAGGGCCATGTAGGTTTGGATTTAGTTCTCTCCCTAAATAATAAAAACCATCATTTCAAAACTGCATTTTGTATTTACTTGTGTTATCTTTGACTAATGGTTAAATGTGTTTGATGATCAGAAACATTTTGTGTGACAAACATGCAAAAGAATAAGAAATCAGGAAGGGGCAAATAGTATTTCACACCACTGTAAAATGATCAAAAGTTTTCCTGATAGAAATGTCCAATTTAAAGCTTGATTACAGTTTTTGAAAATATGAAGTACAGATGAAAAGCAACTATTTTATTAATGTGTAAACATCATTCAAACACAAACGGAGTCTGATGACATTTAACTGTACATGACATTCAAGCCCCAACAGTTGGACAGTTGTCTACCCTTGTTCTGTATCTAACAGACCAGTAACTGGATATCCAGCAACGTCCTTGTTCTCAATGCCAGCGAGACAGAAATCCTGATTGCTGCACCAGCAGAACTTCTTCCTAATATTAAACAGGCTGTTGCTTCTTTTTGTTCATCAGCCCTATAGCGTATGAAACCTAGGAGTTATCCTTGATTCTGCTTTAGGCTTCAGTTCACTCATCAAATCCATCTCCTGGTCCTTTTGTTTTAAACCACAATAGCAAATTTGGACAACTAATTAGCTTAAAACATTTTTCATGCATGTACACCATGGACAGCACTCCTTCGCATCCCCGTGTTTCAGCACCGTGGACAGCGCTCCGTTTGCCCTCCATGTTTTAGCATCCTTCTCCTCCGTGTGTTTCAGCACCGTGGACAGCGCTCCGTTTGTCCTCCATGTTTTACCCCCAAATTCCACTACCTCCGCTCCGCTCCGGTCCGCCCCCGCCCTCCGAAGCCGCTCGCTTCCGAACTCAATTTTTACTGCTACCCGCTCTACAACGGCTCCGCTCCGGTGCGGAGACCTGAGGTGGGCAAATAAGCATGCGCGGGATTTTCGAGATCTTGCGATACAGTCCGAACAATAAACGCGGAAGTTAGATCCAAACACCCGTTGTGTGGGAGAAGCATCGGCATGAGCTGTTTAATCTTCCCATCATTTGTGTGTAGAGATCAGCAGTGTTTGGATCAACAAAGTGTGACTACTTTGATAGTAGAAACTGTATTTATGGCTTACTTTTGTGCATTTAAACTTCAGCCGTCATTGATAGTTGTTAAAAGTTGTTAAACCTGTGCATATGAAACAAAAAACGCCCTTTGTTTATTGATTAATTGTGAAAAACGGAAATTGTGCTTGCTCCTTTTCCTGTTGGACCATTGTGATTTCTGTCCATTGACTGCGGAGGTGCTCCGGCGTCCGGCAAAAATAGGATCGATTCTATTTTTGCCGGACGCCGGAACAGAGGGCGGCGCACGGCGCCGCACTGCCGGAGCACGGCCGCAGTAGTGGAATTGCTCTGATTGACTACAACGGGACCGATTTTGCTCCGGCGTTCGTGTCGGAGCGGAGCGGAGGTAGTGGAATTTGGGGGTTAGCATCCTTCTCCTCCGTGTGTTTCAGCACCGTGGACAGCGCTCCGTTTGCCCTCCATGTTTTAGCATCCTTCTCCTCCGTGTGTTTCAGCACCGTGGACAGCGCTCCGTTGGCCCTCCATGTTTTAGCATCCTTCTCCTCCGTGTGTTTCAGCACCGTGGACAGCGCTCCGTTGGCCCTCCATGTTTTAGCATCCTTCTCCTCCGTGTGTTTCAGCACCGTGGACAGCGTTCTGACAAGTCTCTGCTTCTGTCCCTCCCTCTAGCTGCAACTTGCACAGCTGACCCAACTTTGGATCACCAGGGGACTCTTCAAAAGGCTCAAACTGACAAACTCGCATGGGCAAGAGGTACCCTGGTGTGTGGTGCCGCCATGGCCTGATATACGCATGGATTTGGGAGTGATGGGGAGGGAGAAAAGAGGATGTAGGACTGCAGTGAGTGTATGTGAAGCACAAAGAGTGCCTGAGGGGTATCATGGGTATGTCAAGGTGTAATCCTCTAAATTATCTTGTGTGGTCAATTTATAGGTGGAAATTGACCCCTTGGATACGTAACACCTCTGACTTTATCTAAACTCTTTAGAACTTCCTCTTTGATTGAAGTTTTCTAAAATAGTTTATTTGTAAAATTGGGCTTGTTTTTGTTTCGTGTTAAGTGTTTTGTGAACAATGTCTGGTTTCTTTGATTAACAGATCTGGTCATGTTCACACATTTTGCAGCTGCTTTTGTCAAAGGAAACTAACAGAATGTTTGGTCTTCTAAATTGTCCCAATTTCCATCATTTTGCCAAAATCTTTTTTAAATCTATTTTCTCATTTATTGTAATTTCCTGACATGTTTGAATTTATTTTCAAATATTTTTTTTACCTTTTCAGACAAGTCAAAGCTTTCAAAAAGGCTTCCCTGAATGTATTTTTGGAAGTGGAAGTGCCTGAGCCAAATGTTTTAAAATATATTTGTTTAATAAAACCTTTTTAAAAAACTTTTAAGACGGCATTTCAAATAGTTTTAATTAATGTTTTCTAAAACATGTTGTTGCCTAACCGCTGCTAGCTGGAAACAAAAAAGGATGAAAAATAAAACAAATATAGTATAGAGCAACATTGACAGTAAGTTTTAGTTTTTAAGTTGTCAGCTGTTTTAACTGTTGCCAAAAAAACCTTGTACACCTTTCAGCTATTATTATTTTCCTTTGTAACTATTATTATGTTTACTTGTTTGTCTTTGACCCATCAGGTTTAGGTTTGATAAAATATGTCGGGGGAGGGGGTGGGGGTGGGGGTGGGGACTACAAATCAAGAGCCAGAACCAAAATATTTTTGTTTCAATGCTAATAAAATTCAGAACATAAAGGCTTTATTTATCCGTGAGTCAAAGAAAAGTCACAAAACAAGCAAACATCCATACAGAATGTAAAGTGATGAGGAAAAGATCATAGAAACAGAGATCCATTAAACATCAGCAAATAAAAATAAAACCGTTTTTGAAATAAAACAAATAAATCACTTTAATAAAATGAAGACATAAAAAGAAAAGCAGATTTAAAGAAAAGGTTTTTGGCACCAAACATATTGTCAGTAAGATGAAGTCATGCCATGAAGGATTTAAAAAATGTGGCTTTAAACAAGTAAAATAACTGACTTGACACGTGAGAAAAAAAAAAACTTAAGTCGTCAAAAAAATCAAGAATCTCTCCCTCACTCTGGGGATGTTGTGTTTGTTTGCTGTGAAAGTTTAAGTGTTTTTTCCCTTCAGACGTTCAACTTTACTAATGTAAAACATGAGGATGGATAAGTGGAAATGTAAACTGAAACAAACCAGTAGAGGCTCCACCCATGCACACAGGCCACACCCACACAGGGCTGTTACCGCCTGAAGACCAGCAGAGTCTTATTCCCATAAAATCAACACCACGCTGTGAAAATTCCCTTAAAAACATCCAGGTTACAACAACTCGACATGAGCCAAACTCTTAAAGCTGCTTTTAAAGGTGTGGTTGACCCAAAAAATTATTTAATGATAATTTCTTATTATAATCGATCACTCCGAGTTTTTCATGCAGGCTAAACATGAAGACAGTCTCCTACACCTACCTCCAATATTAGCTTCTGATAGAAAGTAGATGGTGAAATGCTAGGATCTGAAAATCCTCACATATCTATGTCACACTGTGAATTTGCATTCATGGTAGGGCTTTTTAAAAAATGTATTTGCAGTGAGGAGATAAAACAGAGTGTCTTGATGACAGCGACTTTCCAAAATGGCTGAATGCATTCTGTTAGTTAATCAGAAGCAAGGTGTGTGCTTACCATTATTAATAATGAGCAATCCTGCTGTTTTCAGCCCACCTCTAGACCAGCAAACTTCTGCATCTCAGAACAGGAGCATCATAGCTTTTTCTTATGACTCATGAGGCATTTATATTAGAGAACACTGCAAATACATTGAATAAATGAGTAAACCACACCTTAAAACTCATCAAGAAGCTGTGTGCCTTTGGAAACTGAATCCCTGAATTACAGCAAATACTGAGGGTGAACTTTAACTCACACCTGTGCAACTTTTAGAGGTCCAAAAATCCAATTTTCCCCCCCAGTAAGGTCCTCTCTTTTGCCATTTTAAGTTCCTAAAGCAATGATTGACAAACACGCTTTATTAAAGGATTTCATAGAGTCCTAAATTTTATTATCAAGTATTTGTTATCAGTCTTATGTTTGGTAAAAAGACAGTTTATAATGTCTTGGGCCTCGCATCATGTTTAAAACTGAAACACTGATTATTATTATTACTATTATTATTATTATTATTATTATTATTATTATTATTATAAAGGTGTCTATAGATAGTGTCTCTGTCTAAGTCTCAATCAGATTTCAAATGAGTGGAGAATTGTTGCAGGAAGACAAAATCTATGAAGAAGTGGAATTGAATTTGTTGAAATAAAAACTGTTGATTTGGCCTTGGAAAACTATTTTTTTTGCAGACAACTGTTTTGACATAAACATTTGAACAACATCTCTACAAGGGGAAGAAACTTGAGTCTTAACCCAAACAATACACCAAACATTCAGCAGAAACTAGGAACATCTAACCCAAAGTCTAACTAGAGCTGGAATCGTTTCTCCCTGAGGAAACAATGTTTTCCTGCATGAATAACTCATGAATGAGAATCAGAACAAACAAAATGTCTACACGTGTGGATCACCTTTATGTTTTAGACTGTCAGCTGCAAATTCAAACTTGTAACATGTTTAGCTTTTGGTCCGTTTTATCCAAATACACGTTATATCCAGATAAATCCTTTTAATACTTCTAATAACAGAAACGTTTCTGAGACGTGTTTCCAGGAATTCATAAACATAAAATATTAACAATATATATGAATCAGTAAGATTAACTAAAGTATGTCCAAAAACTGTGCATCTTTTTGTCTTTGGACACTTAAAATAGCAACAGGTCTTGTTCCCACTGAGTTCACATTAGATTAACCAACAAGTTCGGCACACAGTATCAAAATAAATGATCAGGCATACAGGTGTAAACATAATTAAACTGACTTTGCTTTGTGGGAAGATTAAAGTGCAACTTTTGTTTCAAATAAAACTGCTGAAAAAGAAATTTCACACAAATCCTTCAGTTAAAGCAGACAGCTTGGCTTAAACGTGTGGTTTTGTTTATTCTAGGTGGTTAATATAAATACATCTTATGTGTGATGCTCACACAGGATCACAATGAAATATTTAATTGCCTCAGCATGTTTCTACCAACTGAAAGAAGAGTTCAGACTGAGAGCCACCAAAACATCTGTTCTGAAAACCCGTGGATCTGAAACATCCTGGCAGGTTCGGAGCTGTGTGACGGACCCGTTAAGGCTGACAGTCATGAACTGAACAGGGAACATGGGAAACACAAACTACAACTGAGCACGTTCTGATAAACAGACGCAGGCCGACCCGTCACAGACGCAGCTTCATCGTTCATGATGGCTGAGGGATAAATACCCATCAGCTTCTAATAGAGCGAATGTTCCCGGTTCTTATCTCAGTACCAAGTCACATGAAGAACAAAGTTGTGACAGCTTGTGCATTCCTCCAGTTTTAATTTAGTTTTATTGGAATATTCGGATGCGAAGCATCAGCATTAAAGTCTGAACGATTTTTCTTTAATTGATTTAAAGAGTGAAATTAAAAAAGAGAAGAGTCCTTCAGGCAAAACCAGATGGGAAGATTCTACAGCTTCTAAAAAACCACAGGACTCAGAAATCAGAAGGTGGTAGCAGGGATTAAACTTCTCTTTCATCTTTCCCTGCGTCTCTCAGCTGTTTCCTGTTTTAAGTGTACTTGGTTCATTTTCCAAAAGCTGTGTTCATGTAAAACCATGTGAAAACCTCAGACTGCAAAACATTTTTAATAGATTTTTTTGTTTCGATCATACACTCCTCAGCTTTCAGTTTGAAAAGTAAACATTTGGTCCCTTTCAACAAATAATGTTTCATCCCTTTGAATTTAAGCAACAAACGTTTGATGGAAAGGCACGGAGTCTGTGGAGCAGCAGTAAGGCCTTGGAAAGAGGAACGTTCAGACACGGACCTTTATAAAGTCCAGTTCTTATTTCTTTGTGTCTGTCAAGATAATGTTTGCTGTGACAAACATGAGGCAGAAGCCAGCCCAGATTAAGACGAACCACACCCAGAAGGCATGGCGAAAAGGAGACTGGTGCATGTTGATGGCATCTCGGCCCACCACTGGCTCCAGGTGGCGTCTGGCAAAAAATACAAGACATGCTGGGACGATGTACTGGATCCCAGTTCCAGCATAGGCTCCTGTAATCCCCACCAGGGACTCCAGGTTGTTTGTGCAGAAGGCCACCACAATGGGGGGCACCAGGGTTATGAGGGGGAACACCACTCGGTCCACCACCCACGGGTAAGTTCCCCCTTCTCGGTGGAACAGCGTCTTCCAGTTGTTTCGAAGGGTCACGGCGATGATGGGGAAGTTGGTGCTGATGGTGAAAACGGGGAAAAGGCCCAGGAAGTAGCGCAGAGCTGAAATATCCAACACATTACAGTTGTCTGTGAAGTTCAAGGTGTACATGGCATGCAACAATGAACTGTCAAAGCAGAAGATGGCGGTGAAGGAGAGGAGCACGTAGAAGCCCAAAATCAGGACATAGTCCGCCAACACCAGGGTGCCAACCCACTTCTTCTCAGAGATGGGCGTCACCAGGGAGGGCAACGAGTGTTGGCACATGAAGGAGTAGACGCACACGCCGAATAGGTTCGGGACGCCAGAGAAGCTGGCAACAGGGGGGTGTCCCTCTCCGGTGCCTTTACCGATCCGAATCAGAGCCAAGATGATCATCATGATGAATGCTGGAAAAAACAGAATGAACCCAACAGTTTTATTTGAAAATAACATCACCTGTTATGTTTTTCCTGAATGGAGAATGAACAAGTGCTAAACAGCACCCCCTGTGGCAACTACAGTCAAACACAGGAGAGCCCAATGACTTCTCAGAATAAGCATCATTAGTAAATATTTTTCAGAAGCAGGCAGGACTATTTTTGGTCCAAACTCAAGAGTTTGTGTGTGCGTAACTAAAGATTTATTTGTATCTACATCTGTGTGTGTGTGGACAGATCTGTGAATGTATAACTCCTGATTTGTAACCAGTGTTTGCATTTTTGTGTGCAACTTCAGCTCCTACACACACAAATTTAGATACACACACAAATTTAGATACACACACAGATCTTTTGAGACTTTTTTTCTCCCCACGGAATAATGTCAAAACAAAGTCCTGTGTCTCATGTATTCAAATGACCGACCGGCCAGTGTGTGTGTGTGTGTGTGTGTGTGTGTGTGTGTGTGTGTGTGCGTGCGTGCGTGCGTGCGTGCGTGCGTGCATGCGTGTGTGTGTGTAAAATTAAAGTAAAATGTCAGAATTATTTCCCATGTGGACTGTCATTTGTAAAAATCACCTCAGATTAAGGCCCTGTCCACACGTAGCCGGGGATCTGCCAAAACGTAGATATTTTTCTACGTTTTGGCCTGTCATCCACACGAAAACGGAGTTTTTTAAAAACTCCGGCCAAAGTGAAGATCTGCGTTTTCTCCGTTTTGGGTGTCTGCGTGTGGACGGACAAAACCGGAGTTTTAAGGTCCGCAACGTCACTTTCTGCGACAAAAAATGCTGACATCACGTGTGTGACCTGTGTTTACACTAGCCGACAGCATGGAAGCCCTCAGAGCTGCGCTCGCTTCATCAATTGTCCAAGCGCTTTCTGCTTGTTTGTTTTTGCAAGCGGAATTACTGCTCCTTGCGGAAGACCACAGACGAAGGACGAGGTTAAGAACGGGGGAAGTACTGCTGCCTACAGGTCTGGCATGTCCTTAACAACGTATTTATCCGGGTACGTGTGGACAGAGTTTTTTGTTTTAACGAGGTGGTGTGGATGCAAGTTTTTGGAGGGGCGGATATTTGTTTTAAAAAAAAAACGGCTACGTGTGGACTAGGCCTAAGAGCAAGGAGTGAGGCTGCACAATCACCCGTGCTCTTGCAAACACAAATTCTCAACACAAATCAAAGACACTTTCCGTTGAGTACAGGCATTATGCAGGTTGCGGCAAAAATAACTGGGAGACTTTGATCTGCAGTATTCACAAATCAACATCAGTAATAATGCTGGGAACGAGCTTGAGGGTGGAACGCCGTTATTCTGTTACGGAACCGCTTTCGCAGCCAGTGATGAGCTGGGGTAACAGTTAAGGAGTTTTTAGATGAAGGAGGTGTTGCTCTGGGTTACATGTACACACACTGCATTCATAATTGATGCTTTCTAATTCACAGTGCATCACTTTTTCTATATTTTGTTATGTTGCAGCCTTGTTCCAAAATGGATTAAATTCTTTTTTTGTTTGTTTCAAAACAATGTAAAAAATATTTTATGGTCATTAAAAAAAATTATACTTCTCAAAACTAGACCAGAAACATGCATAGTTTAATAAGTTTCCCCTAACAGATGAGCTGATCTTGTTTCTGCTGACATGCTTAAAACCTAAACTTTTTTGCTAAAATTCTGTTAAACTACATTTAGACTAAACTGAGCTCAGCTGCCTTCATGCAGTCTGTCCTGGAAACACGAGACATAAAAAACTAACTGCAGCACAAATCAGTTTAAAGGTAGAAGAGTCGGCGTCTCTGCACCTTCTGCTCTTCACCTTCTGCCTCCAACTGATTTCTGGTGGTGTCTCTATGGAAGTCAGCATGAGAGACCGGTGAGCGCAGCGTGGCATCCTGTTAAAACCAGACAGCCATCTCTCCTCCACAGACACAACCAGCACGTGACTGCAGGAGTTAGTAACAGCCTCGGGATGGCCGTCATCCTGCCTGGCTTTCATCATCCTGGTGACATTTAGGAAGCGACACTCAGACTGCCACACGTATGCAGAACATGGATGATTCATACACCTCTGTTCGCTTTGACTTACTGTGACCAAGTGTGTGAGAATCTGCTGCCTTTGGAGGGAATGTTTAAAAGAAGCTGCAAGTCAAGATCGTCAAACAAGCTCTAGAGAGCAGATCCAAAACACTGCTTAAGTCCATGATCACGGGGGCAAAAAAGGGTTCACCTTCTAAAGACGCTCCACATAAAATATCCATCATTTTAGTTTAAAGCATTTCTGTTCTAAATATTTTGAGACTTATTCAGCACAAATGACTTATTGCCTACTTGTCATGCAGCCATGTGGGTCTATATTGTCTTTGTAAACACTCCAAACTTCCAAAAGTCCATCCTTTTTCTGTCAGTATTTGGTTTGGATATTTTATACCAAGGGTGGAGCAATTTTTTAAAAATCCTTAGCACAATATTAATTTTCATTTCATTTTTGTTTACGGAGACAGAAAAACGATTTGCTGGGTGGGTGGGGGGGGGGGGGGGGGGGGGGAATTACTCGACTGGCTTGGGAATGCCTTGGGACTCCCCCTGAGCAGCTGGCCAGCTGAGGAGAGATGTTTGCCTGGTTTACAGTGTGAGCGAAAGAATGGCATGCACTTAAATTAGTGTTTAAACGCATTGTGGTGCGTGTAGGACACAACCGAAGTTATTTCTGGATTTAAATAATGTGGATGTCACACAGTGCTTTAACTATAATGCTGTTGGTAGAGAAAGCAGGAGCATTTCCGTAAATCTTCATTTTCACTGTGATACACAGCAGCAAAGCCAAGCCAGTAGTGAGCCTAAGGCCTGGAATAGACTTTCTTTTAAACCTACTGACACAGGCAGCAGGCTGTGTCTTTGTTTACATACTTGCTGCTGCACTGCATGTAGTACTGGAGGATTCCACTAGGGGGCACAGTACACAACTCAGACCGAACGGGATGCGGGGTTTGTGGGGTACCATAAATGTGTATATCTATTTTTGATGGTTTTATGAATGTTGAAAATGTCCTTCACAAGATCAATCCATTATCCATCTGTCTTATTTATTACTGTAATCCATCTTATTTATTAACTTAATCTATCTTTTGATTATTTCCTAACTTTTTCAGAAAGCATTTCCAAAGAGCTTATAATTAATAAATGAAAGTCAATAAATAAGAAAACAAAAGTTGAGAAATAGTGAAAATACTAAATAATTTGTTGGGTTACATTTTATGGCTGGCGGGCCGGTTCTGGCTGACAGATGTGATTTGGGTGTTGGTTGTCTTTTTTGTTGGGGTGCACATTTTGTATCTGTGTTCTGTTTGTGTGGGCGTTACCTCAGACGAACCTTGAAATCTCATCTCTAAACTAATCCTATTTCACAAACCAGGAATATCTATATATATATATATATATATATATATATATATATATATATATATATATATATATATATATATATATAGTTATATAGATATATAGATAAATCTATATAATATAATAATAGGCTATGTATACTTTAATTTACTGTAGCTTACAATTAAAAGTGTTATCTATGAAAGATTAAATGCTTTGGGGAGTGAAATAACAGGAATTTCTGGGCCAAACCCATCCTATTTCACAGACACATCTCTGACGTCTGTAACAAATCAAACCTTTTGAAAATCAGTAGAAAATTGAGCAAGTTAGAGTTATTTAAATAGAACATGCACCACACACCCCAATGTCACGAAATGGGGCAGCTGTCTGAGGTAAGATGGCCACCACGTTCCTACGTCGCATCCCATTGGTGAACAGCGGGGATGAGGCATCTAGTGTTTATATACATATCTATGTGGGGTACAACCAAAATAAACATGGCGTCAGTAGAATAGATCAGTAACTGGTTACTTTTGAGATCACAGCAGAAAGAAGGCAGTGGTGATATCATAGATGGTAAAGACCTCTAAACCAGAGACGAAGTGACCGTGGCTTGATTTGTCAACTCCTCCTACTATTGGTTACTCGTATACTGTAGCATACGAACGTGTTACATTAACCTCGGGGATGCTCACAAATGACACTTCAAATTAACACAAGTTACGCGAGGCAGCCACTTTTAAAATGCGTAAGCGTCATTAAACAGCAAGTATATTCCAGGCCCAAGTCTCCTCCCAACGCAACGGAGCAAACATCTTTTTTAGAAGGCTTTTAGCGCTTCTACTTGTTGTGGGTTTAACCCTCTCAGGCTCTAACTAAATAAGTTTTGATAAAGGGACGAACAACTAAGTCCTTCAGGGGTACTTTCGAGTTAAAAAATGCTCATGAAATACGTGTGTGGAGTAACCAGGTAGGTAGGTTTTAGCGTTGCAAATCTGCAACGCCTGCCTCCAGAGGGTAAAGACATTCAAGTCATTTTGAACAGAGGAAAGAGCTGCAGAAAACTCTGCCGCTGTCTTCGTTGTTTATGAGAAACTCGGCGTTGTGGTGTGTGATGTACACTACTCAACGCTGATTGGCTCGGTTAGAATTCTCACGGGGTGGGGTTATTTGAATAGGAGAGTTCCCAGACCCTTTCTCTGTGCAGAATCAAACGGAGGAGGAGTCTGGCAGGCCAGGCTATGAATTTCTATCAGCATAAATGTCGGTGCTCATACAGCCTGTAAAAACTGTTGCACAATTGTTCAATATTTGATGCATCTTTGGCATCAGCCCAATCTAATCTCTGGCTCAGAGGAAAGCCTTGCTACTCACAACTGAAATTCTTATTGCAGAGGGGTCAGACTGGTGGGCAACGGACCAGCTTTCAAGGACAAGGGGACAGAAAAACAATTATATCTACTCATATCAATGCATTTGAGTCATTTTAAACCAGTGATCTGCCTACTACTTACTGTGAAATTGGAGGGATAAATGCTCTTTATGTTTATTAATATTCAACCTTTTTGAAAAGGAACCAGTGAAAC